AAAGATACCCACCGTCCATAAGAAGGTACTATTCATAAAACTACAATTCATAAATGACACCATTGAAGAAATCTTGACTCAGAAACTAAGAAGAGCCGTACAAAAAACATTTAATGCTGCCAGATTAAATGCCATCTTCTATAACTATCCCAAAATAAGAACAGCCAGCAAAGACAGACTGCCTGAATTCGCCAAATCTATGTCTATCTATCGTTTCAACTGCTCCTGCGGAGCCAGTTATATTGGGCGTACAATTCGGCAAGTCCGTCATCGCATTACTGAACATCATCCGTCGTGGTTAAACAAAGGACAGGTAAAAGTGATTAAAAGTTCTATTTTCTCTCACTTGGTTGACACAGGTCATCAAGTCGAATTGAATAAAGCTTTTAAGGTTATCTACAATATCCCATCAAATTTGCCACATGGTTTACGAGTGCGCCTCTTGCACATTGGGGAAGCCATCGCAATCCATGTTCACAAACCTGACCTTTGCATTCAAAAGAGATTCGTACAACCACTTTCTCTGCCCTGACCATCAGTTTAAGATTTCCTTCAAAAGAACTATTTTTCATACTTCTTCCACTTGTTTTTTTTTAACTTTTGTAATTTTGTTTCTGTTGCTTTTGAACTTAATAACTTCTCAACATTCATCTCTTGATTCTTACGTAACTACCATCCTATTGACCATCCGTTAAAATTCTGTTCCTTCTTTGTTTCTTACATTACGCAACGTAGCAACTTCTTGATCACTTTGAATATTAATAATCCTCTTTCTTCCAATTAATCAATGTTAATTTAAATATCATTATGTAATTATTACGTAACGCATCCACTCGATGAGTATTATATTATTATTGTAAAACGTATATATATTAGTGTAGAGCCATGATGAAAAACTAATTGAAAAGAAATTTCTTCGCTCAATTCGTTCCTTCTTTATTTACCAAATGGCAAAATGGGAATTTTCGTTATAAATGTAACTCTGAAATTCACGTTTATGAATGTTTATTCACGTTTCAATTTATGATTGACTCCGTCATCAAAGCTTTTAAATAATTTTAGTTGAAGCCATGGATCAACCAATGTTAAATTACCATTGAGAACCTGGGAGCACTGGAAAACCATTTTGTCCTTGTGTGAGACCCCTCAGAAGTGCATAATCATGACTCTACACGTTGAACCCGAACCTAGGACCTTCGGTCTCGCATACGAACGCCTAACCCCTAGACCACTCAGCCGGCATCTAATGGTTTTAATATCTAATTTCAACTAATCCCACACTAGGACAGAATGGTCGTCCAGTTCTTTCATGTTTCCATTGGTGGTCTAACATTGATCTCAACAAACTCCACAACGCTATACTGATAGATAATTTTAGTTCATCAAAAATTCTTAATTTGAATAATAGATGGAATTTGTCATGCTTATTTATTGTCAGCTCATCATCTGATATGTTTTACAAATCGAATTATGAAAGTTGTTTTTTAATGTTATTTTATACATGAGAAGAAATTTTAAAAACCACATTTAAATTTGTTAGTAGTATTTTAAATCCATTTTAAAGAAATATGAAATAGCTTCAATCATGTTGAAAGATAAATTCATGAGCAAACAACGGTAACACATTTCCTATATCTTTCACAACAGCACGATCCGTTATAACTTGTGACTGCCGATTAGAGTGCAGTGACTTATCGATCGAACCAAGGACGCGAAAAACCCGCGCGAGCAGTCTAGAGTCTTGATTGACCCTGCTTTCCACCTAGCCCAGCCAGTTAAGTCCAGAACACCAATTCGAGCCTCTGCGATATGAATCATCATATTTCAAACATACTGAGTTTATATACCAATCAAACAGACTACAACGTACCAATAAAATATGAAACAACATTTGTGCAAGAATTAGCCAGATGTGGCTGTGAATGAGGGAGGTAGTAATTAATATACTGGGCATAACTCAGGAATGGTAAAACTTATAATAATAGTTTATGGGTCAAAATAACGCTTATAATAAGAGGAATATGAATATGCAGAGTTTAGTTACTTAATAATTGTACAATAGAAATATACGTTTAGTATTAGTTCATAAAAGGATCCCAAAGTTACCACTCATTATGTTTATCCTGACCTAACATGATCACTGTTATCCCATTTATCTTTAAAATTTAATATCGTATGAGTCATAAATTGCAGACAACCTTGTTGACCAAATCTATTTATTCACTTAATGATAATGCTTTCATAAATTTGTTGAATTGCCTCGATGACTTGACAATGAAGTATCGAGAATTAACTCATAGATTCCATTTAAATCTCTTCTAATATGATCTGTCATGTGACTGGAATGGCAATGAGATTAGTAATATAGTAAACCATAAAAATAAATCATGTTTTGACAATGATTGTAGTGAAACTATTCCAATAACTGAAATCTTTGATGAACAAGCGAAATGAAAGCATAAGTCACGCGTCTAAACATGTTTATATGAACTTAAAAATCAGTTTGTTCGTAATGCAAAGTAAGAGATCTACAAGTAAATACTTTTTTCAGAATTTACCCTAAACAAATAAATAAATTGTTACATTTACTGACTCATCTGTATCGGAAAACATTAGCAAATAATTATACCTGCTCAACACTGATATGCAGTTTTATTAAACATGTTTAATATATATTGCTAATTAGTTTCTAAATGAGATTCAAGCTATTCTGCTAAGTATAAAGTAAGTGACTGATGTGAGCTATATAGGACTTAATATCATACTGTAAATATTCAAGTTCTTATTATTATTTACAGTATAATAGTAAAATCCAAGCAAACATGAGAAAATGTCATAATAATGATACTGGGCTTCAAATGCTTTATTCATATATTTGGATTGTGACTAGCAGTGGAATCTAGAAAACTAATTCTGTTCTTATATAAGTTTTACAGCTCATAGGAAACACATGTTTACCTCACACCTAGAACGAATCAATGACTTAACATATTGTTTCTCTCAGTTAAGCATTAATGCATCATTTATGTGTATTAGATGTGAACGAATGTATTTTGGAACATAATCTTTTCTGTATATAAAATGAATACTACTACACTTCAATTTATAACTCAGAAATATTTGCTTAACTTGGTCTGTTAGTTGATCCTAGAATGTATTAAAAACAATAGATTTTATTCATAGTAAATAAACAAAAGCCGGTAGTTGTAAGTTTTGGCAAATCTTATAGTACAATGATATTATATTAATTTCTTGTTTACCGCTTTATCATGCCGATCTGATTAAAGTAGACATTTTCAAAAAGGTATGCTATTATTCTGTATCTGATATTTTGATGATTTATTAGGCAGTATACAAGATAATAGTATAAGAAAAGAATGGATATTCCACAAAGTATTAAATTCCTACTTATAAAATATATTTACCCCATAATTTGAGGATTGAATTAACAAATTAATGTGTTGTTTAATATTTTTACTACCGTACTAACTTTTACAGTATCGTCAAACCAATTAGGTCGAAAATAGTTTTCATAGCTTTAAAAGAAATAGTTTGCCAACTGTTATTGGCTTCACAGAATATTTATAGAAGCAAACACTTCATTAAAGTAATCAAGGCCTTGTAATACCGTAAATATTCAAGTTCTTATTATTATTTACAGTATAATAGGAAAATCCAAGCTAAAAGGAGAAAAATGGTAATAATGATACTGGGCTGCGAATGCTTTATTCATATAACTGTGAAACTCAGAACACCAATTTTGTTCTTATATAGGTTTTGCAGCTCATAAAAAATGCATATTTACCTCACACCTAGAACGAATCACTGTAAATAATATTGTTGAGATAGGCACATCTTATTCTATTTATACTGAAAGTCCTTACCAGGTAGGATACTTGCTTCAAATATTCTGCAATGCCACAACACAAATTATACAATCTAAAGCCTAATGAACGATAAAGTTAGACTAACGATTCTTATTTGCTTGATATGAAATATTAATTGTAGTTGAAAAAAGTATTTACTACAAAAACATAAAAAGGTATTAATATTCAAACTATAATAGTCACTATAAGCAAAGATGGGTGGTGGCTATCAGTGGAATCCAGGACGCGCGTTTCGTCCTGTTTGGGACTCGTCAGCTGGGTGTGCCTGCGTCTCAGAGTTAATGTTCACTCCTGGACTCGAACCCACTACCGTTCGCTTCAAACGCCATCGTGTTATCCACATACCTACTGAGTCCTGATAGCCACTTGCTTGTGCAATGGGGTGAAGTTTAATTCACTTGATATTGTTTTACTTGAATCTTCCCATTGATGTTTTAGGACTGAAATTGATCAGTCTCTTATTGGCATATGTGCATACTGTGCGCATGCCTTAATTTACAAACATTATAAGCAAAGATGGATAGTGGCTAGCAGTGGAATCCAAGACGCGCGTTTCGTCCTGTTTGGGACGAGGCATACGCACAGTATGCACATATGCCAATAAGAGACTGATCAATTTCAGTCCTAAAACGTCAATGTAAAGATTCAAGTAAAACGATATCAAGTGAATTATAATAGTTACTGTCTAATAAAATCAAATATATATCTTGCAGAAGTACCCTTTTAAAAGTATAGAAATTGAAATATGGACTAAAAAGAGACCAAACGATGAGTAAGCGTTTCCGATCATTTGTATATTTCATTTATTTCATCCTGTATGTCATTGGAAACATGATAAGAATACATCATGAATTGACTTTGCAATTAATGAAACTATTTACTGTACTAAACTGTACAAGAACTCTATCAAGCGAGATAGTGTCATATCAGTTAAATAATTTAAATTAATCAAATATCTATCAAAGAGTAAAGTGTATTCAGTGTAAAGTTTATTCAGTTTAGATAAACTTGTCACAACTCATTCTTACCTATGGTCCCCAAAAAAAAATTACTCATGAAATAAATCAATATATACTACTGTTTTAAAACTTATATCAGTAATTATTGACTAACCTCTTTTATTTTGTGTTGTAAATATTTTAACATATTTTGTTTCTCATCTTGTTCTGTTCTTGTTCGAGATTTAGTTAATTCTAAATCATCTTTAACTGATGAATGTTTTAATTGTATACGATTATAATCAGTATTTGAAACTTGTAATAAATCTTGTGCAGTATGTAAACGTGATTCAAGTAATTCGATAGATTTTCTTAATTTACTTATTTCATTTTGACTGATATGTAGATTAATTATTATGTTGTAGATATGAAAGTAAAAACAAGAAAAATGATATCAAAATCAAATACAAAATAGACTGATTATACAAGTTATTAACCAAAAAAATAGCAGTAAAATATTAACAAATCGATAAGCAAATAGATGTTTAAGTAACAACTTATGAAATTTCATTTTTCAGTCAGCGATGAGACTGTAATTTATGGACGAGCCAATCAGAGGCGTTTCAGAGATTTCAAAGTTACAGCTCTAATTTCAGTGCTTGATACTAACGTACGATCAGTTCACAGGGAATTTTGTACAAAAGGTGATAATTGAACGGCTATAACAAATAAAACGGCGGGACTATAATTTGTGGACGAATCAGTCAGGTATAAGATAATAGATCTCGGATTTTAACGCGAAAGCCTTTCATCCATTTGGCTAAATAAATTTCTGGCATTATAGCTGATGTCAGTTCGTGATGAAAACCCCATATATAATTTCTAACTAAGGCAAATTATGACAATGATTGCGAACTGGATAATAAAAGTACCAGTAACACTGGCTGAAGCCAGGATGTATGGAGAGCGTACAGACTCCTACATATGCTTGTTTATGTGCATCGTGTCGTTATCCACAAGTAGCATTTTGTGCACTCAACAACAGGAGTGCACATAAACAATATCGAAGATAGGTGGTAGAGGCTGAAAGAGTTTTTGAGACTTTATCATGGCACCAGAGGCCGACTATTCTGTAGCCATATGGATGATTTTTTCTACTGCATGCATTAGGATTTTAGAGCCTCTGAACCTCTTTCTAGCCTTGACAAGTTTTTCAACCACGTATTGGAAGTGTATCCACTTTATTTCCTTGGTTTTGTATAATATATTTTTATTCTATACTGACTGTTTGCTGATTGACTAATATTTCTCAACGTTACTCAAGGTTCGTCCATAAATTAGAGTCTCGCCCAGTCAGCCAGTAAGTGAAGAGCAATATAGGAATTTGATATGCTTGAGCATCGGTAAGAGTTATCATTACCACACTAACAAATCTAGATTAAATTGTCGCTATGGATATTGCAGTCGGAGAAGTAACAGTAGTTTCAGTGATAATAGAAATGGATTAAAAAGGAAATATAATTTTATGAGAAAGAATAAATTAGGGGAATGAAAAACACAAAATAATATTAAACCCAAATATCTAGGTGTAGATAAGGAGTACATGAGCCTTCGCAAGTGTGGTTGGTTTAAATCAATGTTATTTAATTTCCCTAACATTCAATGATACGCTTCTATCAAGGTAGTCTTCATCTACTAATATAACTCTGATGCCTGATGACTTGATGCCAGGTTCTGGCTTTGGTAGCCCACGAATTCCTTTCAAACTACTCCAATGTTACTCAGCATTACTTGTCAACTCAAGTGGTGTTTAAGCATACGTAATACATATCTCAGCTACCTTAGTTGATGTAACTTCACAGTTTTATCAATAGGTTTACTGTCACCCTGTGTTTTACCTCAGTACTGCTCAATAGATTGTTACACCATATGTGACCCATGCTTCAACGACATCTAGAATAAATAATAACGCAAACTTGATTCAAGCATCCTTTCTTATTAAATAAAATTACACTGTAAAAAGTAAAGGTTGTCTTGAACGTGCATGAATTTGTATTAATGGGCGATAATAATGTAGAGAGCTTATTTAGAAACACAAGTTAAGCCATATTAAGGCTTTTTAACTTCGTTCACGAAGTACAAATTTCTTTTCTATAAACTCAATGGTCACGCAAATTTTGAACACGGAAATCTAAAATGTCAAACACTTTTTAGTCTTATAGAAAGACATCTACCGACCAACTGAGTTAAGAAATTATCATTTGTAAAATGTTATTTGTATGACAATGATAGTATTTAAGAAGTTAACCTACGTCAATGGATAATTGTATGATAACTTATGTTACAGTTAGTTACTTTTGGAAGCTGAATAAATCCTATCGACTACCCTGAAAACTGAATATGTTTAATACAGAATTACGGTTAATTTGATGTTTGAGTGATGAAAACAAAAATAAAGTCTCAGTAACATATTTAAATGTAATACAAGATCAGTTTGGGAGTGTTTATCTTCCCAAGACTTCGAGTAAATCTTATTGATAAATCACAGCAAGCACAACAATAGGTTTAGTGCTTCATCATTACGTTGAATAACTAATCAACAAATTAACACTGACATCAAAGTAAAATGGTTACCTTTTAAAAAGTTTTAGTACACTTATGGGTTCGACCTCAGTACCATTCTTTACATCTTTTAAACTTAATAACTTTAAAATGCTCAATAATAAAAATATTAAGAATCTTATTATTTGATTAGAATGTACCTAAAATATTAGTTGAATTCATTTATTCAATCTCAAGAGATTTGTATAATTTCTTGAATATCTGTAATAAACCAAAGTAGATATACAACACCTAGAAACATGAATAAACTAATCAAACTTAATGGAATCCATGAAAAGTCAATATCATGATATAATTTTATATGACGTGTGGTATGGTGAAATTAATGGTCAATTAATAGAAATATTATTCTTATTATTAAATTCACTTGGTACTATCTCAAGCAATATCGAGGCAATACGCACAGTATGCACATATACCAATAAGAGACTGATCAATTTCAATCCTAAACATTAATGGTAAGATTCAAGTAAATAATATCAAGTGAATTAAACTTCACCCCATTGCACAAGCAAGTGGCTATCAGGACTCAGTAGGTATGTGGATAACATGATGGCGTTTGAAGCGAACGGTAGTGGGTTCGAGTCCAGCAGTGAGCATTAACTCTGAGACGCAGGTACATCCAGCTGACGAGCTCCAGGTGCGATGAAACGCGCGTCCTGGATTCCATTGCTAGCCATTATCTATCTTTGCTCATATTATTACTAGCTTTATTCAGTATAGAATATAGGATACAATATAGAATTCTCAGCACAAATTATTTCAACAAGTTTCTGTTTCCTACTTCTTGTTCGATCCTGAAGATAAATATTGAGTGATCGCAACTTAGGTATTAGCAGTCCAGTAAATCGAAATCTCAATATTGTATATTCTTTTCGCTACATACTGCCAGAAACCACGATTACTCTGATTAAGCTTTTTATAACTTTTACGACGAAAAGTTGTATACTTTTCAGAAAGGTACCTGAATAGGTTATGCGATTAGTAATCATAATGATGTATTAAGACTAACGAAATTAGATAAATTGTTGAAATATCTAGACGACAGAAACAGGTAGCCGAGATGTTCAAGAAGGCCGTCATACTTAGTGATAAAACATTTTTAATAAACTATTCACTACATTAAATTTTGATAAGTAATTGTTAATATCTTTATTGTTGATAGCTTTATTCAATATTATATTTTGGTACAATATAGAATTCTCAGCAGGAAGTATTTCAACAAGTTTCTTTTACATAAACAACAAAAAAGAGAAGAAAAAGGTTATAAAAGATCCTAATCTGTACAACATTTCAAATTAGAGATATGTTTAAGAATACAGGTCATTGACTAGATTAACTCTAACTACCTGTTCGTTATAGAGCCTATTTGCTAGGTGAGGTATTATAGAACTTCTATACTTTTGCTTGCGTGCATAAATTTTAATGTATTTACCTCTCGTTCTACCAGAAGATATACAAGGAGAAGGATATGAGTGAAGCGAATGGTTAGTATCTGATAAGATAACACCTACCAGGAGTTTACAAAACTTTGGATGTCTATCCACAACCGCATTACTTATCAAGTCTCTCATATACTGAGGAAGACAACAATCTATCAATAAAAATGAATAAACTAACAGGAATTAACAACTACATACATTGAATCATGACTCAATAATCTAAATTTATCTTAAAACCTTTGTTATCTAAAGATTTTATGCTTCATTCAATGTGAGATAGGAATACTCTGTATTTGGGTTCAAAATTAAAATTAAACAGCTATTTATTGTTCCATGATTTTAAATAATCAGAGACAAGAGATAAACAGGTAATGAAAATTCAATATTTTGTTTTTCAATAAAACTATAAACAACTAAATACGAAGTAAAAAATAAAAAAATTGGACATGAAACTGACTAATCTAATAAATAAAAACAGTATATTTGTAATATTCCAAAAAGTAGAAAAACCAGATTGTCTGACATTTCGTCACTGATTGTAAGCCGTTTCTTCAAAGAATAAATAACTAAATCAAAATTAATCCAAGTTTAAAAGGTACAAAGCAACAGCAAGAATATTAACTATTATTTATTTCAATAGTTGAAATCATGAGTTAATTGAAGCTAGACCATCATGAAAAACCTGGAAGCACTGGACGGCCGTTTCGTTCTAGTATGGGACTTCTCGGCAGTGTGCATCCACGATCCCGCCCCCCGCGAAATTCGAACCCAGCACCTATCAGTCTCTCGCGCGAGCTTTTAACTATTAAACCACTGACCCGGCATCTAACAATGTTAATGTCTAACTCCAACCAATCCACGAATCTCGTGGGGAGAGGGATTGTGGATGCGCACTGCTGAGGTGCCCCACAACAGGAAGAAACAGCCGTCTAGTGCTTCCGGGTTTTCCATCGTGGTCTAGCTTTAATTAACTCATGATTTCAACCATTGAAATTTCTACAAAAATCTCCACAAAACCCCTTCTATTATTTATCTGTAATTTATTCTCTGAAGAAGTAGCTTACACTAAGTGACAAAACGTCAGAAAATTTTATTTTTCTACTTATTTAGATATTACAAATATTAAAACACGAAGTTCAGTGAAGGGATCTCTTTTTCCACAAATTTATTATTAAAGTGTACAATCGTATATATATATGAAAATGTTTTGGTAAAGTACTAATTCCGTGAGGAAATGTGAACACAATTAACCACGACGTAATAAAAAGATTATGATACTATATTATGTAATACGAATAATAACAATAGATTTAGATTTAGTGAATGTAATAAGATGATTAAAATATTTTTATTACTATGATTAAAGGTCACAGAGGTGTAAGAATTAAATAAGGTGATATGATGAGCATTTACAAATAAAATAATGAGAATATAAGACATAAGTAAAGGGGGAGTGCAGTAATATTAATAATAATAATAATAATAATAACAATAATAATAATAGGATAATCAAAATAATTAAGGCTAAAGTAACGATAACGATAAGACGTACTTCTTTTGTGCACATAGTTCTGGTCTGAACTCCTGGATGGTAAAAGCTTCGGCTATTTTTAAGAGTTGGATACGAATAAATCTGGGTACATTTGAACGAATCATATAAACAACCTTAAAATCAAACTGTGGATCCGTAGAATGATTACAGTCGATTAGGTGTTCAAGTATAGAATTAGTACTTTTACAAAAAACAAAAAAAGTTTTTCATACATATACGATTGTACATCTTGACAATAAATTCGTTGAAAAGAGATCCCTTCGCTGAATGTCGTGTTTCAATTTTAATGTTTAAATGTTCAAATCAAATCTTGATAATCATAATCATAATAATAATAATACTTACTAATCTATAATACGTTTTTCATAATGATCATTATCAACTTTTAATTGTGTTTCATTCATTTTAATTTTATAAAACTGTTCTGATTTTTCATTGAATAATTGATTTAATATATTATAATCATTATTTAATTTACCATTAAATTGACTAATTAAATTTTCTTCATTTTTTTTAATCCATAATAATAAATTATCTAATATATATTGTTTATTTATAGAATTTTTATCTAATTCAATTAATTGTTGTTTTAATTCATTCATAATTTGTTGATGTTGTTTTAATGTTTCAGTTAATGTTTGAATTTGTAATTTTAATGATTCAATTTTATTTTTCATATTTATTGTTTCTTGTATAAGTATTGGTTCAATATCTATAGCTTCTTTTAATTTAGTTCTATTCAATGAAGAGAGAGGGAATAAGACAATTATGATCAATAATGAAAAATAAAATCAATGAAATGGAATGGTCATCTAGTGCTTTCAGGTTTTTCATGGTGATTTAGCTTCAATTGACTCATGATCTCAATTATTAAAAAAAATTACTATAATATTAATCAACATATGCTCACTAGTGAATGGCTTCATGATGGATATCTTGGAGTTCTAATGAGAAGCACTTACCAGTGGAGTTTAACCAGTTCTGTTGTAAGATAGTAACTCACTGAAGACAACGGTGGATGTATCGCTCAATTTTGTGGATTAGTTGGAGACAGACATTAACACCATTGGATGCCGGCTAGTTCAGTGGTCTAGTGCTTAAGCGCTCGCGCTTGAGACTGATAGTTCCTGGGTTCGAATCCCGCGAGAGCGAGTTCATGGATGTGCACTGCTTAGGAGTCCCACCAAAGGACGAGACGGCCGTGCAGTGCCTCCAGGTTTTTCATGGTGATCTAGCTTCAACTGACTCATGAACTCAACTCTTAGAAAATTACTATAAAATCCACAAAAACCGCTTCTGATATGAATGATATTATCAATAAAAAAAGTGAAGAAATCTAAACGCCGAAACTTTAATTGTTGAAATGTTAGCTTAAACTGACTCATGATCATAACCACTTAATATAACTCGGTTGTCCTCACCTGTGTTCTCCTTCACTACAACACTACTTTCCAAAGTTATACATTTGTGTTTATTTCGACGAATCAAGCTATTACTAATAATTGAACGATTTTGAATCATGAGAAAATGGGTTAGTGAGGCATAGTACATTATCATCTTGTAAACAGAACGAAATAGAATGACAATAGGCAGACCAATTTCGGCGACGAGGAAAGTGTACACTTTCACACGGCTCGAAGTCATTAAATAGTAAATAATGAAGGAAACTTGCAATACAAAAATAGGATATTGAGACACTGTTTATGATTCTGATGAGATGATGATCAAACTATGCTTTTCAACAGAGAATGTAATTGTTAATTATCCTCTAGATAAGTGGATATATTAATCTTTAGAAATCGGTTTGAAAAAACATAGCTTTTGGGATTTATATCAACAGTTTCACAGTAGTATCTAAACTAGTGGGCACATATAAAGGTTACCTTTCTAGTCTAGGAGGTATTATATCAATTACATTTCTTATACCAAATAGTAGGAACCTTTTGTATCAATTTAGCCTAACACCAAACAGTATAATACATAACTTACTGAGCATCAGTTAAATTTTGTTCAGCTTTGCGAACATCGTTAGCTAAATTCCCTCGAATCTCTTCAGATTTTTGTTTCACAGCATTATAATGTATTTGTGTTTCGTTTAACTTAGCATTCGCTTTTGCAAGTGTTTCTAATGCCTTAAATTTATTAATAATTAAAAGAAATAAAGTCCGGATCAATAACATTTACAAAATCTATGAGAAAAAATAAAAATAACTGGTTAAGGTTTTAAATTTGTACTACTGGATCCCAACTTATTGGTTTTTGAATGTTATGAGGTCCAATCGTTGACAAAATCCTGCACCGGTTCTATTGTAGAGTCATATACTAAGAAAAAACAGCTGTTCAGTGCTTTCTGGTTTTCAGTGGTTGTTTAACTAAAACCAATTCTTAGCGTAAGAATACAACCTGGACACAAACTCCTAAATTCTTACTACTATTAAAATAATAATAATAGTTAAATAATCTAATGGTATTACCATGGTGATTGATCTATCGTTATCCTATCCCCCTTTCCAAATATTGTTTAAGATTTATATCAACTTTTGTTTATTTAACTTATAACTTTTAAAACATAATTCATCCCTCATACCACATTTTATTTAATTGTACCAACATCTTTATCGTTCATTTTGTAATTCATTCAAAATTTCACACTATAAGATTATAGTTTGGTTTATCAGGTTGTCTCGATTTTGTGCTTGGGTCGATGTTTGTAATGTTTAATTGCTTTCATTATTAAAAGTTGATTGTACATGCTTACAGAGTTGTCGGATCATATTTTATCTTGTATTTCTTTCTTCCAGACTTTCACGAATACGCCGATCTTCACACATCTCCAGTATACAACTTGCCTTCAGGTTAGATGCTACCTCTAACCTTTACAAATATTACGAGCATATTAGAATGTTAAAAACGTCATAGTGACTAGACGTAAACTAGTGAAAGTTAGAAAATTATAGTGTTAGTCAAATTTCTATTTCTAATGCACAGTTAATTTATTATCATTTGTCTAGTCATTTTTAACACTGTTCAATGAAACGCTTGAACCTGTAAATCAATTTAGCTGTCAAAGTCATTGCATACGTGCCTCGACTATCATTATCAGTATGCTAAATTAATTTACGGATCTTACAATTCACATTTGAAAAACACTTTATTCAGTATTAGAGATAAGTGTGTACGTGAGGGATTTAGAGCAAACAAGATGAAATAAAATCACTTCATCACACAATATTTTTTGTTGTTGGATAGAAAAAGTTTATCGTAATATTAAGTAAGAAATAAAGCGCTTGTTAAGAACTCCACTTTCCTATAATTTATCTTTAAGCAAGTATTCAGTGCTGTTCAAATAGTAGCATACACTGATAAACCTTAACAACAAAATAGTATATATATATATATATATATATATATATATATATATATATAGGCTTACGTAATTTATTGTTTAAAATTGCTCTTATTATCTTTATGGAGTAACATAAACGCAATAAATTAGAATTTGATTAACACAGGTTAACTTACTTTAGTTGTTCGATCGATAATTCCCTTAAGTTCTGCCTCTGTAATTAAAGATTTTTCATTCACCAGATTTCTAAAATGAGAATTTACATACATTTATATACCACAATCTATATGCTATTTCTCAGGACTCTTTATTATCAACGCCGAGCTAATGTAAATGTATATCTTTGCATTTGACCCAACCACATATATATGACTGATGACCTTAACCACACGAATAATTCACTTACAATAGGCATGAAAGACTTGTATCCTTCACCTACTAGGTGGTCTTGCAGTGTCATATGATTTTTCAGAGTTTGAAGCAGAATCTATTCGGTCTAGAATTACCTGGAATATCAACACCACTTGTATAATTAGTCTCTTTCTTTGGAATCAAATGTGTATCGGTTGTTGTGGGAATATATCATCCAGTTATTCCTTTATAAAATCAAATTTTATTAATAAATGACAAGAATAACTGGATCTGAGGATGTTTATATATTACTTTTTTAAAATTGTGTTTTTTAAACATATAACCAATTCATCAGTTATTAATCTCACACTTGTAATTTAATATTTATGACATCTGTGTTTTAGTAAGTAGAAACTAAGTAACCAAAAAACGTAAGTAATTCTCCTTTGTCCCAATCTGCTGCTATTAAACTATTAACGTTAAAAAAGAAGTTAATTTATGGTTTACACCATCCAAAGTTGTTACTGAATTTAGAACTTAATATCAAAATTGTAACATCATTCCATTTAAAATGTAGACTGTATAAACATTAGGTACAATTTAAAATGTATTAGCAGTTTTAAAGTAATTTTCCAATTATACTCTTGAAAGTCACAGTATGTAAATCTTTTTGTTCATAAGGATAAAATTAGAAATAAAGCTTTGTAAATTGGGATTTTTACTTAAGAAACAACGGCGCAGTAAGTTTTTTAAGGCTTAGTAATGGTTAATATTAGCATAGAACTACAAATATAATACTTCGATCTTTTCTTCGTAAACGATATGGATTAACGTTAATTTTCAATTAAATATGATCAGTGTTTAGTAATCGAGATGGTCGAAAGTAATTGGTCGGACTTTAAACTAATCACACTGATAACAGTTGATGGTGATCGCGTAAAATCATAGATCGGTTGATGTTATCGATTCAATCTGCGGGATGCTGATTCAGTAGTCTGAAAGCAGTGCTCAAAACGACATATTGATTCCCTGAACTCGGCCCCTGATGGATTAATGAATAAGCACTGATGAAGAGTCTCCATAAAGGATGAAAAGTATTGGAAGCTTCGGGTTTACAATGGTTATTTGGCTTAAGGTGGTTCAGGATTTCGACAACAAGCTGCACGTTAGTCATATACCTTCTTATTGAATAAGATACAAGCCTCTTCGAATGCAACAGACTTTTAAGATAGTCTCTTAAATACATCTGTAAATCTAGACAATCCGTTTTGAAAAATATAAGGATCATCTTGATTAAAATACAAAGTAAGTTTTTCCGAATATGAGCTCATGTCAGAAGAAAATGCCATCAAACATTCGAATATGGTTTCTAGCCAGCTTGTATTTTTTCCAAGGGTTATTTTGATAATCTTAATATGAAGTCACTTATCAATATATCAGTTTACGTTTTGATAATCTTCCTTGAAAGAGCGTGGTAAGTACTCGTGAAAACGGATTGTTTATATATATATATATATATATATATATATATATATATATATAATTTTTCATTAATTTCTACAATAAACAGTGAGTGCTTACGTGCATCCAGTCAGTTGTGAAATCTCACTTTCAATATACTTTTTTGATGCGGTTAGCGATTTCAGTCTATTAAATGCTTTATTGTATTCTTCTTGAGTTTTTTTGATATTCCATTTTAAAGCAGTTAGATTGTTAGAAGCCTGATCATGTTCTAGATTTTACAAAAATAAATCGACATTTGATTTACTTGTCAAGAATCATAAACACGCTTGAACAAAGTAAGCAACCATTGTTAGTAACGATCCTAAAATTAGTAGTCGGGTTAATTACAGATTAATCGATCAACAGGTTGGTCAAAGTCGTCAGAAAGCATACAGACTATTATATACATGCATATATTACTTTTATGTTAGCCTGACTTTGTTAACTAAGTAGTACTTAGATGCACTTAGTTCGCTGTTTACAATCATTTCACTGTTGTAATGAACGCTATCTAAAATCCATGGGTTGATTTAATCCTTTTTACCACGAATTATGCTTAATTAAGGCTGCGTGATGTTGCATAGGTTAAAGTAATGTTCTATTCACCCACACATGAGGATCTATGATGTGTTTTTCAACATCAAAAAACAAAACAAAAATATGCTTTTAGGTCCGAATTATAGTATGCATTACCCCACCCTCAAACCCAAAAATCCATTATGATGAATAGTTGGCTGAAAAGCTTATATGCTCTGAAACCATGGTAGTAAATAATCTCGTACCAAACCATATGTTTTGAATCTCATTTGTAATCCTGATGAAAAATCAGTGGATTTGCATTCACTTTAACGGTTCGTAATTTAAACTTCGGTCAACTTAGTAAATAGTAAACAGATACTACCTCACGCATCACAAATCTAATTCAACAGATCATGATTACTCACTAGAACGTCTTAAAGCTAGTCACTTTTGAGTACACGGTTAAATTTTAGTTCCTAAAATTTTTTTATTACTTGAATACAAATATATTACAACTAGAGAGAATCGGTACTAAATTCCTTTGTTGTTTGTACTGCCGAAGGTCTGTCTATATGTTCAAAATCCAAGGATATTGATATTCCTGTTTATGTTGCTTTTAATAGTGAATAACTAATTATCTTCCATTGTCTTGTCAGCTACCTTGTTTTTAATCATATTTAAGCTCAGAACAATGGTTATTTTTGACAATGTTAGGATTTTTGTTTTGAAATGTCCAAGGCTTGTTGACTCATCTATAAAATAAAGTACACAAGGGTTTTCATATGAGAAAATGTTGTCCGAAATGCTTATTAATGCTTGCAACTACAACGCTGTTAACCGGTGTAAATATTAAATATCCTCCTTTAATGTTGTGAAAACCAAGTTCTGTGATAGCAAACAACTATAAATTCAATTGATTTCCTTTCTAGAAACATAGGACAAGTTTTTCAAGTACGATATGCCTAAGCAATCGATGCAATACATATTATCCTAAGATTCTCAACAAATTGAAATAGAACAAAAAGTTCACTTTCGTACTGATTGATTGAATTTTCTTATTGATATTTAGGACTGCGAATTGATTAGTCTCTTATTGTTATATGTGCATCCTGTACGGATTGTCTCAGTAACTCCTTTATCTACAAGCATTGTATGCAGAGATGATGGTGACTAGCAGTGAAATATAGGACTCTAGGATCTCATTGAACAAGCTAGCGGTTACCTAGACTCAGTAACCAAGTGGATAACGCGATGGAGTTTGAAGCGACAATCACCAGGTTCAAGTCCCGAAGTAAAAATAAACAAATAAACCAACGAACGATTTTTAAGTTATATTTCAGCCGTGACTAACATTAAATGCTTTCCTTACGGAGAAAAGCACGAAGAAGCTTATTATCATCAAATTCTACTATGATACTCGGTGTCTATGATTACCCATTTCAATCATCAGTATTCAGCATTTTGCTTTTTACTGATCTGGTAATTTGTTTTTGCTTATGTTCTGCTATACTAGGTAACTGACAATGTGGACAAGTTTTAATCGATTGGTCACTAGGTGATGATCAATTTGACGTATATCGTGCTCTTCTTAGTGCAGATTGAATCCTATCCATCAAGTTGCAATGTGGCCACCAGTGAAGGCGATTCGATATCGCTTGCACTAGTTTGAGATGTAGGGTGGCGGTTAGAAATGATTAACAAGAGACCCTGGATCCAGATTTTGGGCTTTTCGACACTCCAAGGACAGTACTGTGCTGAGGAGTCCCACAAAGCACAAAACCTTGATCCTAAGTTACCTCTCGACTACCTCCAACCACCATCTCACATCTTGATATACATAACTTATAAACCCTTGAATTCACTGGTTAAAATAAACTCAGGCGGGTAAAATTCGTCACTTAAATTCATAGGTTGCCCACTCAATAAGCTCCAAAATTATTATCAGGTGAAATCTCACCTAGATGTATCAGTAATACAGAAACATATGTGAAGATTTTCCTCACTTTCAAAATTATAATTTCTGTACAAATATATTTAATTCAGCACATAGTAGCTGAAAGGTAATAGGGTTTATATGTAAAGTTGTTTTAAGAACCGTGTGACTTTAAAACTGTTGTCAACTCAGTTTTTTTAATTGCATTCCAAATATTTCCACTCTCAAATTATGAAAGCCAGTTACTTCTAACTAAAAAGCGACAGTACTTGACCGCACTCTGAAAAATGTTTCTTTGAATTTCCAACTAAATAAACATGCACGAGTGGCTGTCTTCTGTAATAAGCACATGATAAAACTTCTATTGGTCGAGCTATACCATTGTTTAAATGTATAGTACTCGGATAATAAAAACGTTATAATGTGCAAACGATGAACAGCTAAGACACTGGTTTTTCATAGTGGTATTTTACATGAGTATAATATAATCGGTCACTTGTGAATGTACACATATGCACAATAAGCGTACAAGGTAACTTCTAAGGTGCCAAGTGATTACATTAGTTCAGATTTGTAAATCGGTCCAAATAAGTTAGAAATTTAAATTTAAAATACATTTGAATATTAAAGAGAAGTTTGAAAGTTAACATTATGTGAAGAACTTCGGAATGATAAAAATAAATTTCCGCTAACTCTGAAACTCCATGTTGTCATGCATACAAACTTTACTGATTTCTACCTTCATTGTTTTATTACTTAATGTCTAAAAGATAGGAGTCGTGGCAAATTCTAATAGTTATACAAGGTTGAACGGTAAATGAGTATAATATACCCACAGAAATCGCTCGATAAGTCGTTTTGTTTAATACTTGAAAATCATATGACAAGGACAAACACAATACTGTTTTATTGAAGGAATTTGTGTGCTCAAGGTGAATTAAAACGCAACAGAAAGAAAATCACTAGCACATATTCTTCAAATAACAATCCAGGACATTTCGCGGGGAAATAAGATGCGTTTTTGCGAATTAAAATGTAATAATTACCTTTCTGTACTACAAATGGAATTTCGTTCATGCAGAATCGACCTATTCTGTCAAACTGATTTCCAAGCATATACACAGTTCTACGAATTTCATCTATTTTGTTCTCTGTATGGACCAAGTCCAATTCTACTTCTTCAAATATGTCAATCACATTTTTAAGTTTCTTTAATAAATATCAATGTTAAACAACTTTACTTGCAAAAATATTGTGCAGATTGTGTCTGTATTTTTTATACTGCCGCTGAGAGCTTTATTTTCCAGATAGTTAACAATTTTTGCAAGCGATTCCTATGAAAATGGTCACTAGCATACGCCGAACAAACCTCTCCAATGACCAGTTGACTTATGGGATAATTTAGCACACTAACCATCACTATTTAAATTAGTACTCGGATACTGCTATGACAATCGAGGTTACACTTCATACGTCCAATATGAAAAACTGCATTCCTGTACATGAAAATGATAATATTACACTTGTCTACACAGAATGTAACTTAGCACCGGACTTAGCTTACCTTGTTGTTTAAGCAATAAGAATTATGAATTTAATATCAGTAAGCTAATTATTAGTTTAACTCCTCCTGGAGTCCCTCCGGGGGCTACTGCTGGTCCCAAGCCAGGGTAAAGGAGGAGGGTCGGGCATGAGGTTTGTGACCCCATCCCTTACAAAACTAACTCGCCAAAATGCACTAACCAGAAATTATTGGTTTATTTTCGGGCTATCGAATCGTCTAATGTATAAGGAATGTGGTATTTTGTATCTTTCTCAGGCATTGACGAGCATAAATCAACCGTGTTTGTCAAAATATCTCACTAGAACTAATTTGACTAATTTTAACCACTGAACGATTGTGATCATGCAGTTTCTGTTGACATGAAGTGTAGGCAGAAAATTTTAACGGAATAACCAGAGTTCAACCATGCTACATATGTGACAGTTACCGACCGATGATGATGAAGGTAATTTAACGATATTACAAGCTAACAGAAGTCCGATGCAAAGTGGATTAGTATTTCCGTCCCGGTTTGGACAAGAAATAGGAAAGTTATAATTTTACGACTAAATTAATATTTAATCCGATTTGTCGCCTTGCACATATTCTTAAACCTGATGAATAGCCCTATACATGTACAATTTTCATTCGCATGAATTATTGTTTTCATAATTAAAATATCACAAATATTCGGATTGTAATAACACCTTAACCAGAATCTTCTTTTTTAATCGAAACGTGTCAACCCAGTGGAATCAGGATTTGGGAGATAAGAAGCTCAAAGATCTATTTGATAAAATATCGATATATTGAGTGACGAATCTGTCTAGCAGTTGTGGGAGAAGGGAAGCTCGGCATAACCATTCGTGATCTGGTGAGGTTGCGTGACCAAGCGTTCCCAGCTGGGTGAGTCCAATAAAACTAATGCGCTCAGCATCAAATGTCGAAGGCGTACAAAGCTATTTATTTTGGGGATTTATGTTCAGCTGCAGACCACTCCTCCACTGGGGTGATGATGACCCTAAGAGGTGGTCAGCCAGAACTTTAAGCCAAACAAATTTGTCGTTAGGGAGCACTCTTCTGATAGTTTGCTATGCTCAGCAGCGTCAGGTTGTCTTTCCATATTATAAGGGCCTATGTGGTACAATATAGGAAGGAAGAAACGAGTACAGTGAAAACTTCGATTCATCGTAAACTTCGTCGCTTTTTCGTCTTTTGCAGCCGTTCTGGAAAAGAAAAAGAAAGAATATGTAAGTCTACGTGGAATTACACTGATACGTGCATAAACAAATAAATCTGGCGAAAAAAGAAATGAAATCATATGCATGCGTTTCGTAAATACTCAAAAGCGCAAAGACGATTTTTGTAGAATGATGTCTTTGGGCATTTTTAAAGTAAAATACAAATATGCACATGTGAGTAAGCACATTAGCAACAAAAATATTTGTGGTTTTATTAGACACAATACTGAAACGTCGAGACGAAGCAAAATGTTATGTAGTGTCTTACGTGCAGTGATCGCACAGATGTCGTAGGAACCTTACTCTTCTTCCAGAACGAGTTGTTTTGAGTCCTTTGTCAGACACCACCGAGGTGTTATCGTGACTGTTGACTATTGGGTAAGTTATCGTAACTGTGAGACTTGTGACTTTCAATTGTACTGAAAGAAAACCGGTATGAATAGTGTTTCTTTCTAAATTTGTGACTTTGAGGCGATCGACTCTGATACTACCGTTAATTCTGTTCTTGTAGATTATGTGGTACTTGGGTTCACGCTGAAGAACTTTAAAGTGTCCTTCGTGTTCCATTTCATGAGTTTGTTGAAGTGATTCACGACGCGCAAAGGCGTGTGTAATGTGTGGTAGGGATTAATCAACCAACAATAGTTGACTGTGGTTGAGTGGAAACTGGTTTAACTGAACGCATCACGTGTTTAAGCCAGCTTGCGTAACGGCATAGATCCATATTTCTTGGTGAAGATGAAGGACCTACGAAATCTACTGGGAGTCGTAGTGTCATTACATAAACGAGATGAACTCTAATGTGTTCATCGTCAGTTATTGCTGAGTTGCGTATACTGGGTAAAACGAGTGGAATAGCATTGGTCCACTGCAAAACGCATGCAACTGAGAGCAAAGATTTAAGCTGTTGCTGAAAGCGTTCTACCAACCCGTTTGCTTGTGGGTGGTAGGCAGTTGTTCGGTATCGCGTTATTCCTAATATTGCAGTCAGACGACAGAGAACTCCGGATTTGAACTGGCGTCCACGATCTGTAGTAATAGTTGAAGTGCAGCCGATGTTTGCTATCCACCGTTTGACGAAAGTGCAGACCATCGTTCCAGCGGTAATTTCCTAGATGGGTTGTGCTTTCGGCTATAGAGTGAAACGGTTTACGCAGGTTAAGATGTTATAGTATCCATTTGGATCTGGTAAAGGTTCCACCAAATCCGGATGAACATTGTCGAAACGAGCTTCCGAAGTTTTGAAAGAGCCTGTGGGTCATCTTTTCTGTCTAATCATCCTGGATTCTTGGCATCCTATAAAGAGGCGTGCCCACTCCCTTACGTCTTTTTTCATATTAGACCAGCAAAATTGTTCTGCTATGGGCTTGATGGTTGCACGAACACTTGGATGATGAAGATCGTGCAACGTATTGAAGACGTTGTATCGATAGTGTTTCAGCACAAATGGACTAAACTCTGTCACATAACGACGTTAAATTGCCTGTTCTCATCTGTTTAATACGCAGTTTCAGGGTTAAGATAACTCATGCTGAAGATCAGTGTCTGCTTTACGAAGTTGAGCGAGTTTGAGAAGACCATTTCCTCGGAAATCGCTCAAGGAAGTTATACGAGACAAAGCGTCTGAAATTACATTGTTCGCCCGAGAAATATGTCATATATAAGTCATTATTATTATTATCTCAAGTAAACTGCGGAACGTATTCCAGTTGTCGAAACTCTCGAGGAAAATGCTTGTGTAAAGATGAGCCTAAAGAGGAGGTTAGAGGTTTGTGATCGGTAAAATGAGTGAATTCTCGGCCTTCAACATAGTGTTGAAAGTACCGTACAGAAACAATATATGGCTGAGAGTTCTCTACCGAAAATTCAATACCTCGATTCCGTGTCAAACAACCGTCTCGAGAAAAATGACAAAGGTAAACAGAATGAGTTTTTCGCGCATGTAGGTAACACCCGTTCTACTGATAGAAGAAAACAGACTAGCAGTGAACAGGTCTTTATTTATCTCGTAGAATAGACACAGTAGAGCGGAGGTTACCTGTACAAACACGCAAAGCTTTTCAACATCCAACGTAAGGTAATAGGAAATATAATGTGTATACGAAGTAAGGGAGTTAATGAATAATTAAGCTCTATTGCTTCGACATACACTTAGTTGTTTGCTGTCAACTCCTAACTAGTAAACCTACGTTGTCACATTAGCTTTCTCCTAGAATCGACTTTGATAGGAACGTCGGTTCGATCAAGCTATCAACCATTAAAATCTCTGTTCTGTGTCCGCAGCCAAAGGGAGAATTACTAACTTGTTCAGTGTTTGAATATCAATCAATGACGACCAACTCCATCAGCATTCGACGACAACCCATGGATGTCTCTCTCTTTACTAGCTTGTTATCTTATCTCACAGTATTGAAGAGGGGGTGAGGAAATGAAACAAGAGTGCAGGAAGAAATGCTGCAAGGGGGCTAGTCAATACCATGTTGGTTAGGCACAATGTTTCCACGCTCTATCCAGCTATCAGATGCTTAACCACCTGCTTTTTGAGTCGCCCTCAATTAAAAAAATAAAGAAGAATCTACTTAAAAACAATGGTGGAGATCAGCCATGGGTTTTCGCGTACATGTTGTAAGATCCATTCTGAATGTTTTGTGTGTTCGTGAAAATCCCTCCATGTATATACTTGCACTTTGTTCCTATTGATCCCCTTAGTTGTATATTGTTGTCTTTTGATTACATTTAAATTGTTAATACTTGTATTTTTTTATTGTAGTTTTTGTTTTTCTTACGCATTCACTAAGTTTGTGTTTCTTCCCGAACTGCAACTGTGTTGTTTTACTTGACACTTGTTCTTGGCGGTAGCCATATTGATTTACTCCTCCTTTTGTGTGTTCTATCCAGTCAGGATGGAATAACGTTCATTTGTTGTGACTGGTAATTTTCCCTCATCTCTCATCAACTACTTTATTTATTGTAATTTAGATTTTATTGATTGGACAATTATTGGTTGAATAACCGGGTGGTAATATTTGTTTAGGTAACGATTTATATGTAAATTTATGATGAATTATAGAACCGCTATTTACCTGATTACTTGTTATGATTTTGACGGGAAAGGGTGCGTGTCTAACGTACCTGGAAGGCTATTCAGCAGTTCAAACCGTAGTTTGGATTTTACACATGTAACATATTACTTTATGGAAATCCTTTAGCGCATTACCAAATTCAATCCAGCTTCCGAAACGCTTGTTCAGCATAATACTTTGAAACGCCTCTCTGACGTCCACTGAAATTTCACTTGAACATGAAGCGCTTCAGACAACACGCATTAGTTATTAAAAAAAGTTATTCCTTGAAAAAAAACAACCGAAAGAAGTGCAACAAATATTTAGGACTTACCGTTGAGTTGCCATTTCGTCTTAACCTCTTTGTTTAACAGAGACTCACAAAAACTCTAGGTATCTATAACTTTTCAAGTTATCTTTCTTACGTTACTTTATGGACCTTATCAACAAATTATATAAAGGTGTTGACGTTTACTACAGCAGTTGGGACCACAGATCAAGTTACGAGGGAACAACAGAGCTAACGTGTACACTACAAAACAGAGAATGCTAAATTAATGCTCTTAGAAGT